GTGTCCTAAAGTCTCCTTATGAGTAAGAAGCCATAACAATGGTACCCACTGAATGGCCATTTTCTAGGTTTAATTGGATCATATGTGAATATGTCTTGCATGGTGTCTAGCATATAGAAAATGCCATATTAACAGAAGTCATTATTGTTATTCCTTTCAAAATGCACTCAGTTTGAAGTACAGTGCTAGGTATTGAAAGTACTAGTAACATATTACAACAAATTCACCGCTGGCACCATGAATAATTTACAAATATATACTACAAAAGACATAGAAACCAGTAAGTTATATTATAGAAGCTTCTGTTACATTTTCTAAAGCAACTGATTAGAGCTCTACCTTTGTTTAGGAACTCTGTAAAACTCATTAGGAATTGTATAGGGAAACCTCCCAGGACCTACACATGAAAAGATTTTCAAAATTAATAACACCCCTAATAACGCTATCTTGCCATAAAAAGGACATGAGAATTATTTCTTGTCTTTGATTAAAAGCCATTAAAGCTATAACTCTCCCCAAATGCTGCTCCTGTTTTTCTTCATGAAAATTTACCATTCTTTACCAACGACCTGAAAGAAAATGAGGATAAACGTAGTGTAAGTCGGAAACAAAGAACTGGAAAATTTTACAGAAGAGCGATTTGCTCAAATTGTATGAGTTGATTTTGGATTTTACAATAGCTGATAAAAAGAGAAAAATACAAAGCTGATTTATTGATTTGTTAGTCATCTAAATGATGACAGCGGAACGGCATCTGTCAAACCTTTTTCAGGCAGGTGAGTGGATTGATCCTGCCTGGTAACAATTGAGGGGACGCCGTTCTCTGGACCATTCTCAGTACAATCAGGAATAATTTAGTTATCTATTTGTTCTCATCTTCTGGAATCACTGAATGTGGGAAACAGTTAAGCCAGACTCTGGATCCCTTAAAAATTTTGTGATATAAGGTATTTGAACTACGTGACCAATAGAAGCATCATCAGTCTTGGCCTGTATAACACAGCAGCAGTGGTGGTGGCAGCAGTAGGCCATACCAGTGGGACATTTGAGGTGCTCCAGATTGGAGACCATTGAGCTAGTAGGATAGCAGGAGTAGAAGAGAGATTAGTGAAGCTGCAATGCCATAACTATCACATGGAAATTCTGTCTTCAGCTCATAAAAGGATCATTATCATTGCCATTGTGGTACTTTGGTTTATTAATAGTCTTTATATACATATATAAAGACTAATGTCATATATATATGACGTTCTTGAGGTGGAATACCATGTTGTTCACCTCTAAATAATGTATTTGACATCACTTTGCATAAATGTAAATGTTCAGTTGGAAAAGCAGAGGGCATATTCCACCCCTTTCTAAAAGGGACACAAGGAATCACTTTACCTCTATATTGGTTCCCAAGTGTGCACATCTTTCCCCACCTGTATTTATAATTTCTTCTTAAGCAAGTTTAAGCTATGGATAGAAATCCAGTATGGGGTGGTGCCTGTGGCTCAAAGGAATAGGGTGCTGGCCCCATATGCTGGAGGTAGTGGGTTCAAACCCAGCCCTGGCCAAAAACTACAAAAAAAAAAAAGAAAGAAAATAGGAAGAAAAGAAAGAAAAGAAAGAAAGAAAGAAAGAAAGACAGACAGACAGACAGACAGTATGAAAGATAATTTTAAGTGGTAGAGACATAAACTTTTATATTTTTGGTTTGGTTTCATATATATTTGAAAAATATAAGTAGCACATCAAACTTGTGGTATAATGGTTTCATTTTATGCAACTTTGAGTTAAATTTTAATTGCAAATCCCATGCATTATAATAAAAATGGTAAATGTGGCAAACAGCTGTCTAATAGTTGGGTAACACTGTCCTACAGGAACATCTGTAAAACTCTAATTTTAGTGTGTAAAAATTCATGCAAACTAGGAGCATGGTGTGAGACATAGGATTCTGCCCTTTTAACAAGTACCCCTGGTAAATCGGTAGCAGATAGTCTGGGACCACATACGAGGAAGAATTGTTCTGAATCCAGTTGCTCTTTTGTTGTTAACATTGGACAACCAGTTGCACAATGCACCGTGGGGGAACCTGGAACTTCTGACGAGTACCAAATTTGTCTTTTTGTTACTCCTCACTACTAGATTAAGATTTTTCTTCATACAATGATGTAAGACTAGCAATGAGGAGAGATTTTGGAATAAGACCCTGGATGTGGCAAGTAACACCTTCAGAGAGGGCGTTACTGGTTTTCCATGTTGTCTGATATTGTTCGCACTAGTACAGATCAATACAATAATATTGTCTAGTAATATTGTTGCTAATCTCAAAGCTCTTCAGTTTGCTAAAGCTTTTGTTTCACTTTCTATTGATGGTGTCAGTTTTCTGTTTGTTTGAATGTTTTCATTTCCGTGTTTTCCTAGAAGTATCCAAAAATCTCACCCAAGTAGTGTGATACTGATATTCTCATTTGTCTGTAGTATTCTTAGTTTGTATGTAATAATTACTATTATTATTATTATTTATATTTTGAGACAGAGTCTCACTCTATTGGCCAGGCTAGACTGCTGTGACATCAGCAAACTCAAATTCCTCAAGTGATCAAGTAATCACTTGATGGAATGATCGTCTTGCCTCAGCCATCTCCCAGGTAGCTAGGACTAGATGCATGTGCCACAACACTGACTATTTCTATTTTTTTTTTTCCATTTTTAGTAGAGATGGTGACTGGCTCTTGTTTAGGCTGGTCTCAAGCTCCTGAGTTCAAGGGATCCACCCAGTTTGGCCTCCCAGAGTGCTGGGATTACAGATCTGAGCCTGGTGCCTACCCTGTGTGGAAGTACTAATAGAAGCCTCTTTTATTCTTAAAATCTTCTTGTTTGGTTGATAAATTTACAGTGACCCTGCTCCTGTAAGTTATTCTTGTTTTATTTTATAATGTGAATGACTAATTGGAAGACTCTTTGTTCCAAAGCTCATGGCTAAAGCTACGTGGAGAAACTGAGGCTACGGATAGTTCTCGATGTTTAACTTTCTTTTTTTTAGAGACAGAGTCTCACTTCATTGCCCTCAGTAGAGTGCCATGGCTTTACAGATCACAGAAACCTCCAGTTTGGGGGCTTAGCCTCCCAAGTAACTGGAACTACAGGTGCCCGCCACAACCTTTGTTGCAGTTTGACCGGGGCTGGGTTTGAACCCACCACTCTCGCTGTATGGGGTCAGTGCCCTACTCACTGAGCCATAGGTGCTGCCCTGTTTAACTTTCTTATTAGCCATTTTTTACATCATCTATATGTTTTATACAGGATAAAGAGAAAGATGGAAGGGCGTAAAGAGGAGTTAAAGGAGCTAAGTAATGACATTAATGACTGACAAATAAACCAAAGCACATTTGAGAAACCCAAAGAATCTATTATTCTGGCACGTCCTTCAAAATTGCTCTAACTTAATTTGAAGGCACATCTTGGCATTCATAACATTTATTTTTCCATCGACATTTAGTGGTATGTATTTTGTGTGCTCATGAAAAGGTTGAAATGTCTTAGATTGCCTCAATTCCCTAATAAGTTAGGACAGGCACTGTGCAATCTTAAGTAGAATTTCAGTTGTATGACAGTAGCCAGGTATGTATCATAAAAGATACAGCCACCCCGTTTCTTTTCTGGAATTTTACTATTAAATAATACATAGAAAAGCTGCTATCTCTTTTGTACTTTGCTTCAATTCTAGAGGAGGATTTCAAAGGTGTCATTTACTACATTCAGAGCAATCTTTAGTTCTGAAGCTCAACAGCCTGGCTTATAAAATATGCAAGCACTCACAGAGACCACCCCAGGTTAAACGTCTCTAAATACTTCACGTTGCTTTACTGTTAAATAATGTTTAGAGTTTGTTATCTTTTGTAGGCTTTGGAAATCTAATTATTTATAATATCCAGTGACATTTACATTTTGCTAAATATACTCTGCTTGTGTCAGAACATATCATGCTTTAAAAAATGGGCAAAGAATGCATGCCTGTCCATTGTTTATAACCTTGTTATCTTCTTATTATCATTCTATGATTTTACAAACATAATTCTCAAAAACATCCTTAGCTAGTATCATTTAAAACACAGAACAAGAAAGTTGTCGTCCCTGAGGTCATTTGTTTACCGTTTAACTCTCCACTATCAAATCAAATATCTTTTCATTTATTGGTATCTTACAATAATATACCGTTCATTTCCATGCCAACAGTTCCAAAGTGTTTGGTTTAGTTTTTGAGATTGATTAAGAGTGGATTGTGAAGTTGACCCATTGTGTTAAGCTTATTTACACAAACATAGTGTCTTGGAAAATAAACTCTGAAAGTGCAGAACCGTTGAAGCCTGAGGTATTTCGCGTCCTGAGTTTTCTAATACCTGCTTTACAGGGATCCCTTGGGTAGTGAGTCTCAGCTTTACCATGGTTACCTTAACAAGGAGGAAATTCTCATTTAATTATTCTTAAATTTGAAGTGAAATTTATGAATTGCTTTAGGAAAAAGGATTTGCTTTTAATTTGATTTGAAGAATTTGCCTAAGCAAATAATTTGTTCGTTCTAACAAGTCTATGAAATAATCACAGATGTCATTTTTTAGGCTCTTGACATACACTTTCTTTAAGAGAGTTAAAAATAACATTTCTGAGGCATAAGCAATACAAAAAGCCTTAATGGTGAGAAAAAAAAAAAGAAACCTATATAGAAACAGTGGGAAAATCAATTTGGGTACTGGATAGTTTACACATAGATTATTTAAAAAATGAAATTGCATTTATTCAAGGATTAATCTCGGTGAGTATTTACAAGCCCTCTCTGACACCATGCCCTTGTCTATGACATATTCTTAAATAGTCAAGCTATTATTATTTATCAGCCCCTCCTGATTCCCTCCTCTCCTCCTTGGAAAGTCGGACTTCTCTGCTGAGTAAGGTAGGGCTGATTACTGGGCGGGAGGTCGGGAGCAGGGCACGTGGACCAGAAATACTTCCTAGAAACAGCAAGTAGCCTGCTCAACCCTGCCTGAACTTTCCAGTAAACACAGCGCACTGACAGACGGCATCCCTGCTGGGTGGATCCTGCAACTCCGGGAGGCAATGGCACTTCTTGTTTTTAATTAGCAAGGTGAAAGGTGAATTAAAACTAGCAGTTTGGCAAGTCAGAGCAAGAGGCTGACTTCTGAGGCTTCACCGAGCCAGAGGAGAAGAGCTCCCGGAGAAGGCAGTGCGTGTGCTCGGGTTTTTCTTTCTTTCTTTCTTTCTTCTTCTTCTTCTTCTTTTTTTTTTTTTTCTGAATGAACCGCTCGCCTAAGTGGCTGAAAAATACAGCTTCTCCTGAATCTACCGGCTTCGCTGCTGAAGAGCGCTCTAGGCAGGGCATGGCTGGGAAGACGCACTCTTTGGAATGTCCTCTTGTTCCCGGCTTATAAACAACTGTCCTGAGGAAAGAGAGGCTCTACATACCCAAATACAGCCTGACAAATGGCACTTTGGAACTGTGCTTTCTGATGACAACGCATTCGATTTCTGACAAAGCCTCCAGCACGCTGTCCCTGGGGGGCAGTCCTAAGTGAGCTCAGACCCTCCTGAAAGTGGGGAGCGCAGAGGGCTCGCCGAGCGCGCAGCATGGCATCCGCGGGGCGCCTGGCCACCTGGCTCCTGTGGGGTTACTTCCTGGAGCTCTGGACGGGAGGTCGCACAGCTGACACCCCCCACCCCCGGCTACGCCTGTCGCATAAAGGTAGGTTACCTTTTCGGATCCTTTTGTTTAGAAAACAAATGAAACAAAAAAGTCCTGTCATTTAATATGGGTGTATGGTCTTGGAACACCTTAAAATGCACCTGAAAATTCTTATTGGAAAGCTGACCTAAGATTCTAAGTCCCTCTAATTAATATGCAATACTTATCTCATCTGAAAATAGTGTAAAATCACATGTAACCCAGAGATATTATTTTAACCTTGTAAACACTAGATGTTATTGATGAGAAGTTTACTCTCTATTGAAGGGAACAGAGGAAGGCAGGAAGCAGGTTGTGAATAGCCATAAAGGACTGAACCCACCAAGTTAGCAGCAGGTATTTAAATAATCCCATTTCATACGTTATGTATGGGAAGCAAGGCTGTCAGGGAAGAGCTCTAGAAATAGGGGTGAAATTTACTTTGTATTTTTTGTTTGTTTCTATAATGAGGAGGAGAGGAGGAGAAAATTCCTAAGATGAAAAATGATGCCCTACCCATGACAACAGAGTCATCACATGATTAACCACTAATCGAAATTGGATTTCTAGTTGAATTAATTATCAGTATTTTTTTATATGTGGCAAAACAGAATAAAGAGTTAATTGACAATTCTTGTAAATTGACTTATGTGGATTATTAGCAGTCATTAATATTGATTCTTTTTAATGTAAATGCATACTACTTTCTTGAAGACCTATCAGAGAACATTGAAGTATGTCATTCTGCAATATGTCAATCTTATAAAGCAACATCAGACTCATAAATAAGTGATCAAAAGATAAGTTTTGCATCAGGACTAGTAAAAGCCAGTCGGGAATAGGTTTGATGATTCCTCTGGTAAACAAATGGAAAAACAACAAACAGAACCCATGCTCTAAGAAAGTGACTTTGGGCATTGAAAAGAAATTTGGAATGCATTATTAGCAAAGAAGCATTTATTATCACCAGCCACTGAGACAGGTAGCCAATGGAATACTGGTGATTACATAAGAGCCATTTTTTCAATTGTGTAAGCTTTTAAATTGTCCCCCACTGTAGAAAGAACTATAGCTTGTATCTTCTGAATATAGTATATTTATCAGAAGAAAGAAAAAGGGAGCCCTCAGTTTTATATATTATATGACATATTTGGCTTTTTGTGTTTTTATTGGCCGTCATCAGTAAATGTTGAATACAGAAATTTCTTATTTTTGGAATAGTGATAATGATTGATGTTTCCTTAGTTTACATAGATTTCCTATAACATTGCTGAGTAGATTATACAAATTGGAGAAATACATTGACACTAAATTTATGAAGGATTTCAAATACAGTATGCAGAATTAGCATAAATCTTTGACTTGGGAAGATGTATCATGGTAGTGTCAAAATCCCTGTTTCTAAGAGGTGACGGCCAAATACATCAAGATGTAAAAATTGGATGCAAAGAATATGGACAAATAAGGATGCCAAAAAAGTTATAAATTGTTTTTCTTTTGCAGATAAGTGTATAAACAGCCAGTTTTGGCAAGCTACAATGCTGTTAATGCCTGGCATCAACCTTTTAAACTTAACTATTGGGGGACTCATTTTCTCCTAGTTTGATATCAGTATGTTTTCTAAATTATCCCTTCTTTCATAACGGAGTTTATAATTTGGTCAGAGAAGATTAAAACTCTCTGATACAAGTCTATGCATAATACTGTTATCAAGCTCAGCTGCACTGTCTCCCCTAATCAAAGAAATACATGGAACTGATTTTATGAGTTGTGTCGTGTGGCGTTGGCGTAGAACTGCTAATATCTGTGTGGACACTAGACTGAAAGCTCCCCCAAGATTTCCCTCTGGCTTTTCTCAACCTTTTCATTTAATGGAACTAGATGACATGAGCAATGTTATGGTTTTATACAAAGGCAGTGTGGGGAGAATTGTCTGAAAATAGAATGTTTTACTTGTCAATTTATTAGCAACATCAGTGAGGAGATCACACCAAAGATGTTACCTAGAGCAGCAAACACTTACTGCGCCACAAGTGCCTCAGTGAAAAGAAAGTGCGTATACTGTCAGAGCAGGAATAGTTAATCCCAATACAACATGCACAATGCTTGGTTACCTCTTTACACTCAGTGGAATTTGGTGGACATCTTAGATTCAAAACTGTGAATAATACATGGCAGATTAATCATTTTCTATCTCAAATGATGTCAGGAATGGTCGATTTCCCATAGTAACTGAATTAAGATAATCAATATAAGAAGTACTGGGTAATATGTCTTAGAGCAGCTCTGCCCTGCTGTCTGGCTATAGGCAGGGAAATCCAGTAGGCTCCCTGGAGGTGGCCTCGTAGGTTAACACAGGGATTCTTTTCATAGAAGTGGTCTACACTGTATGGGAGAAAGGCAAGCATTTTTCTTACATCTTCCACTTTAAAGATGGCATTTGAGAACACAAGCCTAGTGCCTCTTCCAGAAGAGGAGAAGAAAATTTCACTGTCAAATACAAAGATTGAGCTAAATTATATAAAAATACACTCAGAAAAAAATGTCTGGAGAATTGCCCTTTTTCTCTCCCCTCCATTCTCCACTATTTCTAGAGATGACTTGCTCTTGTAAAGCTTGAGAAGAGACTGTTAAGATTAAAGGCAGCAAGGGAGGGAGACCAAGTGGAAAGGCAGAATAAGATGCGGAACATTTTCTAGCTGAGTCCCTGCTGCCTTCCACCCCAATGGGATTAGATTGAATTCTACCCTCTTCAATGTGCCTGCATATTAAGAAAATATGCTAGTTTAGGGCTAGCGTAGTAGATCAAATGAGATGGTTACTCTAGTTGAGTCAATATGAAAAGTTTTCAATGTATTTTCCAGTTAGTTACAGAATAAATTGGGTTAACAAAAATGTGGTAGAGATCAAAATGGCAAGCTGCTGTCTGGTTCTTTAGTACCTTTTAGTTAAGATTTGAGTTGATACTGACTGTGTCAGGCAAGTATTTAAAAGTTCGTGTATAGTTACACATTATAGCTAACTTGATCCCAACTAAATAGGGTAATACTGCTGTGATTAGTACAAAATCGTAATATCCTGCTCCAAGAGTTTCCTTGGAAAATGACTCTGATCCTCATGACAGAAACCAAGGAGAGAGAGAAGGAAGGAAGAAGAATCCTGATCATTCTGTCCCTTCCCTCTGTTGATATTTGTTCTCTCCTTATCTTTCACCATCCTACATTAATCAGGTTGCAGGGAAGGCAAAAATAACTTTCTTGATAATGGAGCTCCAAGAAGAAAAACAAGGGAGCGAAGACCCATATCAAAGAAGAAATACCAGTGCACATGGGAAACCCCAGAAATCAAGGGAGCTTGTCACATGGGGCAGGTGTGTGACGTCCCCGTAAGGAAAGATGCAATTGCAGAAGCCAAAGGGAGGGGCTGTTTAAGCAGAAAATGTTCTCTTGCGATATTTGGTGTAGAGACAGTTAAAGAAAGTCATGGATATGGTGGAAGATCGTTTATAAAATACGCTGACATTACAAATGTAGATTTAAACATTGAATAGATATCTATACTTATCAAATGTGTGATAGAAAGTGTTAATTAGCATATCTGTATTTGAGTATTATACATGTAACCAATTAAATGTAGATTTGTCATAGTTCAGAGAACTCATGATTGAAGTCAGAGGGCTCGGCTCCAGTTCTATTCCTCTTATAATAATGGTCTGTACATTAGTTTCCTCAGTTTGCAAATAGGGATAATAATGGGCCTGTATTTTCCACTGGGTTTTTATGAGGGCCAAGTAGAGTAAAAGTATCTATGACTGTACTTTATAAACTAAATATTATTCATATTATTAATGTTGTCTAAAGAATAATATAAGTTGAGAATATTGGATGAAAACCTGTCATAAAGAGAAAACCACTTGGGAATGGCACAAGTTTAGATTTCAATAATACTAACATAGAAAACAGAAGTTGTTCTTAAATACCATAAAAATACATGTTTTATCCCAATAGATTGCATTCATTCGAAATCTCGTCTTCCATATCTTTGACCTCTACTATAATAACTTATAAGATAGTTACATCATCCTTGCTTTTTTTTTTTTTTTTTTTTGCAATTTTTGGCCAAGGCTGGGTTTGAACCCACCACCTTCAGCATATGGGGCTGGTGCCCTACCCTTTTGAGCTACAGGTGCCACCCATCCTTGCATTTTTTTCCCCAAGATTTATCACCAATATATTTTATTTTGCTACTGAAGTGTAATACATCCATTTATTATACATAGTCATTCAATAACACACATTTTTTCTGTATGAAAAAAATTGACATAGAATTCTAGAATAGCATAATATTAAATAAATGTTTTGAATGATCACACTGTGGGCTGTGGTATTTATTTTTTATCAGGTCAAACAAGGAACAAGGCAGTGCCTGAGCCAGTTTTTCCTGACCCACCTCATAACTTTGGCTCCTCAGCCAGTAACTAGGTATTATCAATAGTGACATTAGTCACACATCTCTGTGCGTTGATAAATAAAAACTGGTCATAAGACATGATTCACAAACATAGTAGTTAAATAGGACCCACGAGTAAACACAAACCTACAAGCCCAGAACTCTATCAGGAAGAGTAAGTGAAGATTACGTGCTGAATTTATTTAGTAATATTTTATATTTTAAAAAATCATTGAGTAAGATAGGAGGAATTACAATATGTTTTATTGAGTTTGGTTCACAAAAAATATGCTTTCTATAAAGGAGGTTGGTATAAGAATTTCAGATAATTCTTTATATTTTTCTATATGCTAGAGACAGAAATTGTCCACACCTCACATCAGTGCGTCTGAAAGTTCTTTAATGGTTCTATGAATTATTTAGTTATCTGGATGTTTCATATTACAGTGTGAAAACAGTTATATTTTAGTATAGAAATAAGGTGGAGCGAGGTCAGGCTTAGCAAAAGCAGTGCATGGGCAAAACTGTTTTTAAAATGTTTTATGAGGATGGTATCCTATACATAATATGTA